CGCAACGCCGAAGCGCCCGCATCCCGTGTTCATAGTTCTCACGCATTTCCTCCGTCGCAGAACTCCAATCGCCCATTCCTGGTTTCGGAACTAAGAAGGTCTCCTGAGGTGGTACACGAACCAGGGGTCGTTTCTCCAATTCAGGCAGCGTAAACACTGCAGAAAAATCGAAGGAAGCTCTTTCATCTTGAAACTACTTTTCAAATTTAGAATTAAATAAAGCATGAATAGAACTTATTTTGGTGGATATTGTCTGTCATTATAAGTCAAGAACGATGATACATTGGCTACGTTAAAAAGTGAAGAACAAGCATCATCACTTTACTCCTTCGCAGAGCGCTCACCTGAGATTTGTCATATCGTCAGGTATTCAGATTATTTACCCACTACATATGATCAAGGCTGACGCTGTCCGAAAAAGATGCTGTTTCGTATTAGAAAGATATCTGTTCATGGAATAATAAACAGCGAGTAATATGTTATCGTTGAACCCTACCAGGACATTAACTTACTTCCTACATCCTAAGACCCCCTTTCGGACTCTCTGGAGCCTGATATAACCAAGCATTCCAGAGTATTCTAAAGAAAGCGCCTAAAGTTATCAAGAGACCCATAGAGACGAAAAATAAATGAACTTTCTGGGAGACTGTATTCCAAACTGTGGCATGTTTGTGATCAAAGAATACGATAATCATGTCACCCGAGGTTGCTTTGCTACTCACTACAACACTTCGTTTCCCTTCCTTAACTACGAAGACGTCCGCTCTCTTCCATCTCATCTGTTTTCTCGGGTATGTAAAATGCTTCTACCAGCTGCACGAAAGCTGAACCTTTCTTTTAACTCGACTGAGAGTTCGCAGTTCGAAATGATCCTCGGTATTTGAATCAAGATTTGTGGCGGCAGAAGTAATACTAATTAGAACAACCGACTCAACGCTGCCTTGAGGAATCCGAAATGCCAGGATTTCGCGCGAGCAGATCTGGTCTAAACTGACTAAAGGTGTTCAATTTTGCTCCTCATCGGTGGTGGCGAATAAATGCTTTCGATTAGTCTTGGGGGTGTCTGCAAAAAAGCAGCGCGCACTTAGGTGAAGTTTAATGTGCGGTTTGTTTAGAAAGTGACCTCTCGAAACATATGGTTGGGATTCACTTTTTAGTTAAGGCGCCATTCACGTGAAGGCAAAGAAGCATTTGTTTAAAATAAGATCGGTTTGTTGTTTTTCATAAATAATAATGTACAAGAAAAAGTGTGCTGTGCCATGTCGACTATGGGTTCTGTCCGCTCGTGTTATCTAACCCACGCGAAAAGCTGAGGTCGAGCTGCAATTACAACGGACCCAAGTTGTTGCGAGGTTATACTCGTTACTTTGTGCGATTCAGTAGGGTCATTTACTGGCCATCAAATAATCACGTCGTGGGCCTGAGGTTAAACACTCCCCCCAACTTAAGTATGCTTCATACAAAGAATGTGCTAATCCGAGTTCGTTCTTCAACGACTGCGATTAATTTTTGACCAAACCTGGTAGTCAGGTCATCTATGAATGATTTAGATAATGAAACAAACGATTAACTAGAAGTAGGGCCAAAGGACGTCGCACAAAAAATACGCCATCAACACCTTCTGCAGATGTCATGGCACACCCAGCACAAACACATAAAATACAAGACGACAACAACCAGCGAAGCAACGATAAAAAACCAGAGGAAAAAAAGAAATTGTGTAGCAAAAAGGTCGAAGGACATGAACACCAGATCCCGAGGAATGCCTCCGAAGAACCGGAACCAGGGACGTCGGCGTCCGTGTCGCCCATCACGGGAAATGACACGGGTCCTAAAACCCTCAACCTATCGCAAAAAACTTCCGACTCTGATGAATATGCAAACAAAACAGAGACGAATGAGGATCTTAATCGACTGCAGCTTATATCCTCTTCAGATCATGGCAACCACATATTGCCTATGTCGGAGCACGAAACCACTGTGTTCTCGAGAGTGTCGCCGGTCAGAGGACACTGTCTGATTATTCAGGGACTTCCCGAATCCACAGCTAGTGCCTCCAAAGAGCGGGTCTCGGCAGACCTGCAACTCTTCCAATGCCTACTCAACGAACTTCTGCGCCCCAATGAGGAAGTTTCGGTTCTCAAGGCCTTTAGGCTTGGAAAGCGCTCAATCGACATATCAGAGCACTCACGTCCCCGACCACTCAAGATTGTGTTAGCCAACCAAGAACAAGTAGGACTTATTCTCTCACGACGATTCCGAATCAAAGACACCAATCGCGGCGTTTTTTTTCAGCCGGACTACACACCGGCAGAGAGAATAAAACGTCAACAATTAGTTCTGGAACTGAGAACAAGGTTGCAGAATGGTGAGACGGATCTTGTGATCTACAACAACCAGATAGTGCAGCGCCCTCCCCTAATCCGTTGGGCCGAACCTATCCGGATGAGGACACAGTAGCTTCCTTAAATGGGATCACAAGCGGCACCATAATCAAACGCCCCAAAAATCTGAAACTAACATTTTCTTACACCAACGTGCAGAGTATATTGCCCAAGTTAGACGAACTGAAGATCCACATCTGTGACCTTTCCCCTGACATTGTCTCTTTGACAGAAACATGGCTGTCTGAAAGCGTGGATGACCGCGAATTAATGCTACCAGGATTTCAGTTGTTTCGAAGAGACAGGAGGGAGCGTCAGGGAAGAGGAGTCGTCACGTACGTAAAACACGGCCTGCTTGTGTCAGAAAAAACAGAACAGTTTGCATGCAGCGCCGAGACTATCTGGCTCACTATAAGAGTACCAGGATCACATAGCCTTGCAGTTCTGACCGTCTATCGACAACCGAGTAGTGATCCCGAGGCTGACGCTCGTCTGTTAGAGGAGCTAGGACGATTTGCTCTCCGGCCTGACGTCCTAATCATGGGCGACCTCAATGCACCGCTCATTGATTGGAGTTCACTATACGCGCGCGGCCCAGAACTAGCTTTCGACCGACGCTTCTTGGACATGGCACTCAGGTCATTTCTCACATAGCACGTCCTATTTCCCACGAGGGCCCGTGAGGGGCAGCAGTCAAACTGCTTGGACCTGGTTCTCACGAAATCGATGGACAGCATAGATGAGGTACAATGTCTGCCTCACTTAGGTCGAAGCGATCACGTTGTACTTCAATGGGACTATTCAATCTTTTCCGTGCCTGAACAGCCCACCAACATTAGAAGAAATATTTGGCGTGGGGACTTCGATCAAATGAAGGCCGAAATCAACAATACGGACTGGGAAGCAGCGTTTTCCAGAAATATAGAGGAGGATTGGAAATGGTTCAGTGAATTATTGCATGTTCTCCTGACAAACCACTGCCCGCTTTCACGCAAGGGGCTAAACAATCGACCCCGGTGGCTGACCCAGGCGTTAAAAAAGGAAGTAAATAAAAAACGGAGATTGTGGCAGAAATCTCTTACTGATGGGACACCTGTATCCATAAACGCATACAAAATACAGAGGAACTTAGTCAAGCGACTGACCCTCAGGACACAGCAAAATTTTGAAAAAGACCTATTGAATCGTGCTATGGAAAATCCAAAATTATTCTACAGCTACATAAGAAGCAGCACACGAAACAGAGATCCAATCCCCCTCCTGAAGACAAGCGGAGACGTAGAGATTAGTGAGGATGGAGAAGAAGCTGAGCACTTTTCACAATTTTTCAAATCCATCTTTACTAGTGAAAGTCCATTTACTCCTCCCGACTACGACTTTGATGAGGGTCCGAAAATTGAGTCTGCATCTTTTGCTGAATCGACGGTTCGCAAAGAGCTAATGACGCTAAATGAGTCGAAATCATCAGGTCCAGACGACATACCGCCTAAGTTACTGAAGGAGCTCGCTGCCGAACTAGCCAAAACATTATCCATGCTTTTCCAAGCCTCGTTCGAAGCCGGCTGCTTGCCCGCCGACTGGAAATCTGCGCGGATCAAACCACTGCATAAAGGAGGCAGCAAGGCCTCTGCAAACAATTATAGACCAATTAGCCTCACCTCTATCTGTTGCAAACTCATGGAAAAAATAATCAAGCGAGACCTGATGCGCTTCCTACAGCAGCATAATTTATTATCTGATGCGCAGCATGGGTTTCGTAGTGGCAGGTCTTGCGTGACTAACTTGCTCAACTGTTTGGAACGTTGGACTCGGTCAGTTGATGAAGGCAATGCGCTGCATGTAGTCTATATCGACTTTAAAAAGGCATTTGATAGTGTCCCACATCAGCGACTCCTGCACAAACTGAGCCGAACAAACGTTAGGGGTAACCTCTTAAAATGGATTCAAAGCTTCCTATTAGACCGTTGTCAAACTGTCCATGTCGGTGGCCAGAAGTCGACGGAGGTTGCCGTTGCAAGCGGTGTTCCCCAAGGCTCAGTTCTTGGTCCTACTTTGTTCATCATTTACGTCAACGATTGCGTGAGTGGACTGGATTGTGGTGTCGCCATGTTTGCGGATGACATTAAGCTCTGGAGCGTCATTCGAACTGCAGATGACGAAGAGCATCTGCAGGCGAACCTAAACCGACTTCAACAGTGGTCAAAGGCCTGGCTTCTGCCGTTCAACGAGAAAAAGTGTAATATTCTATGAGTCGGCAGAGCTAGCTCCCCGAACCATCTGGCCTACTGCCTAAACGGTATACCACTGCAAGAAGTGGACTCGCAGAAGGACTTGGGAGTATGGATTACGACCTCGCTCAAACCCTCGCTGCACTGCACGAAGATAGCCAAGTCTGCAATGTCAGTCCTCTACCTTGTCAAGCGGGCTTTCTCTGCCTTTGATGAAGACTGCTTCGCTAAAGTCTTTCGAACTTTTGTGCGTCCGAAACTAGAATTTGCTATCCAAGCTTGGAGACCCTGGACCGCGAAGGACCTCAGCATCCTTGAAAGGGTTCAAAGGCGTGCAACGAAACTTGTGGCAGGACAGGCTTCACTACCATATGCAACGCGGTTAGCTAGCCTTGATCTCTTTCCCTTGAGTTACAGGCAGTTACGGGGTGACCTGATACAAGCCTTCCGTATCATACGCGGTCAGGACTGCAGCCTCGTACCGGGGGACTTCTTCGAGTTAGCAACCACCACAAATCTACGAGGCCATCCATTCAAACTACGTGTGACAGGGGCCAGACTGGACACACGAAAGTCCTTCTTCTCCAACAGAGTGCTAGAAGCCTGGAATGCCCTGCCTGTGGATGTCGTTATGTCTGCTTCCGTCGAGGTCTTTAAGAGGAAGCTGGATTTGTGTAGCAGTGTCCACTAAATTACCACCCCGATCTCTGTAACCTCGACAAATTCCGTTATTATAATACTACTTGCTATATTTCAGTAACATTTTAAATTGAACTTATTATTGTACCAACCCATCGCCTACGCTTACTGACATGCACATATGCAAATTTTGTCACCGGATATATTATTTATTTCGCTGCACTCGAAACGACAGCTCTACAACTGCTCGTACCACTAAAATTCGAGACAGTTTGTTTGTCTGTACAGACCTGACGCTTTTCCGATTATTTGTTCCTTTAGGATACCTTTTCGAGTTTTTGAGATTTTGCAGTTGCTTGTAAACAAATAGGGAGTTCAAAGGTGAAGACCTACATTTCCCTCAATAAACTGAACTGAACTGAACTGAAGTAGCGCGTCCGACCACACAGATTTCGCTTTCCCTCACAGTTTATTTCGTGATATTTGATTATTAATTCTTTTTGCTCCCATCAAAGAACGTTTAATGAACTTTAGGCAAACCCATTTTCGCTTGTAACGGCGGACTCAAAAAGGTCACTGAGGGTGTAGGCATGTCAAAGGCAAAAAATCTTTGGTAGTCTTCATTGTGGATTTGGTTTCCGGGAAAACTCTGCTTGAAATTACTTCGACGAACTGTTTTCCAGATCAGCAGCGTTTGAGGGGTCGATTCCCAAATAATTCGACTTCTGAGCGCTGGGGTTGACTATGGTCCAAACCCAAAATTCGTTAATTCATGATGCTGCTACTATCTACCGCTGACTAGCCATTTCTATAAAGAAAATAACTGCTAGCAGGCTATAAGACAGTTACAGCAAGTGCATCATGGGGTGCGGGCAGTAATGTCATATTTAGAGTGAGTGACCGATCTCATGAAATGTTGATGGAAATTCTGAAATGCATTTCGATTAGGAAGGAGCACTTAGGCGCGGTTGTAATACTGATTACCTTTCGACATAACCCTATAATATTTCTGACTCAGCAGGATGTAAGCTTTTGAATACACTGCTTTTCACTCTCCTGTAGAAACCATACTCAGTATAAGATGACTACATACCCACCGCTTTTCGATGGTCTTGCAAATGCAAATATATTTTATAAAAATCACGGACAAAATATGGTTTCCTTCAGTCGTCGGATAGACAATTACGTCATCTTTATGTTTTATACTCGAAGAAGGAGTATAATTAGGTTTTAAAAATGTTTCTAATTATGAGATTTTTTTAAGACCGCGCAATGTCCATTCATATAGCGTTGTGCCTGTGTGTCTACCACTGCTTCTCATTAAATGTACAACATAGTCCGCATCCATTGCAAAATTTTATGGACTCTATATAATATAATTTTAAAGACGCAGATGAATATGTGACTTTCTTTACGCGGAACGCATGCACTTTGTAAACTGAAATCGTTAAGCGCTAAGGCAACGACTCATCAGGATCCAAATTATTCGGTAATTAGATAAGTTTTTAAAATCTTATTATACTCCTTCTTCGAGTATAAAACATAAAGATGACGTAATTATCTATCCGACGACTGAAGGAAACCATGGTGGTGCGGTCCCCTGTATCGTGACGACACGTGCATTCAATCGGCCTGTCTCACAATTTTACCAGATGGACACAAACTTAAAGCCCACCTCGATCTCCAAGTATGATCACTTACTCTTTCCGATTGGAAAATGGATATGAGAGGTTAACTCGATCGACCGGTTTCCCTCAACATGAAAGGGTCGGCAGTAAATGCTCAGTTAAAACCTCCGGTAAATTACTTGCGTGGGTAGGTGAATTCCATTAGCTTTAATGAAGTAACTTCACACTATCAATCATAAAATCTATTAGTGAGTCGAAACCCCATAGTTGCGTCATTCATCATTGGAAAATCAAAGTGAGGCTTGCCTGGCTTTTAAGTTCGTGATTTGCTGGGGATTTCGGTTAAGTACTAACTGTGTCACAGGCATAGTGCCACTAGATTTGAAGGTGTGAACATTATGTAGTTATTCCGCTGAAGTTGATGGAATGTAGCACAAATGTTCACACCAAATTCAACTGAACGTAAACAGTTGTATACTAACAGGTCTTTCTTAGTTTTATACATTAGTTTCCGTTGAAATTATAAACTTCATAAATGTACTTTTCCTGTGCCTTGTGCTCGATAATGGACAAGATGTTCAGCTGCCCAGAACCACGGAAACGGCTAATAAATTTCCCGGAGGTTCTTTCTTTTTTCATTTATTTGGTATCTCCATTTAGTCCCCTTCTTCATCTTCTTTTAAGATTAGCTGCTTTTGAGAAGGATAATTCAGTTGTTGTGAAAAAATTGCAGCTTCTCGGCTGATATATCCTTCCGTCAATGCTACTGATTACTGCTCTTTCATGGCTAGTGTCAAAGTTGTGGCAGACCTCTCAAGGCTCTACCTGCGCTTGGTTCACTAAATATTAACCACTTCACAGCAAGCAGGAACATAAGAAGAAACTAACCAGTATCCACGTCGTTCACAAAGTCCAGCCATCGTACGGTTTTTGGATCCTCCGAGGATATGTAATTTTCGAGCAGCTTATTGCACTGGGCAGGTGTAAGATCGTGCAGACCTATTCTGTTTATGCTAGCGTTGCTGAGGGCCCGCATAAACTGGTCCTTTGTAATTCGTCCGCTCCGGAGGGGATCAAAGTCTTCGAAAAACCCCTTCAGTCGAATGCGATTTACTAAGACAAGATGACGTATGCGCGCCATCAGTGTCTCGAGGTCGGCCGAATCTCCGCACGACTTCGCTATCGGCGTGGATACAGCGTCCCAATCACATCGCTGTGCTGGTTTTACAAAGTCACCAATCTTCGGTGGCGGACCAGCATCCCCTTCAATTTCATGAGTCGCATCTCTGACGGGGGCGGACGCCTGGAACATAGGGTCGATGGCTTCGCAGAGGGCCGCATAATTGACATACTTGGTAACCGGGTCGGCAAACTTCTTGGCTAACAGACGACAATCCTCGGATCCGACATTCAACCTGAGGAAATGCAGTGCTCGGCTCATTTGCATTGGGGTCATTGTTCGTGTGAGAGCAGTACTCTGAAGGCGAACGTTGCGAAGACGCAATAATTACACAATGAATTCGGCTAGATGGAAGGAGCTGCGCATTCTCATTCCGCCTATGCGGAGCCAGGACATGCTTCTGCCTTCAACGGGAGGCATTTCAAACAGATTTTTAATGGAATTTCAGGTAATTTATTAATTGTAGTCTGAATAAAAACCGTCCAAATATAAGCGCGGTCAGGTTTGATCTGCAGGAAATAGACATAAATTCCTGTAATGACACCAGGAAGAAGTTCGGTGGGAAAAAGATAGCATCACTGAGGCTAGAATGCCTTTTTCGATTTACATTCTGCTGGCAAAACGAAAGTAACCTGATCGAAACAGACAGAGAATAGTCAAAATTGAAGAAGACCGCTGAAGGACAGCGATGGTCTATTCTTAACCGGGTTTGTGGTATATAGCGTGACAGTCTACGCGTAGGACAAATTACAAGAAACTCGTTGCATTTGGAAATATTTTAAGAATTAGTGCGTAGTAAGTTGCTGAGAGTTCTAAATACATAGAACTCTAAAGAGAGCCTCGGATTCGAATGTTATTATTTTCGGAAGTGAAATTGCTCTCAGTTGAAGTTTTCAGCTTGTCTTAAAAGCCAGTGAGACAAGTAACTGTCCGGTAAACTCATTTACTCTAAATTCGAGTCATTTGGGATATTTGTAAAAATCCACCTCGGCTTTCTGACTTATGCGAGAAGAGATGTTCGGTTTCTTCTGGTGAGTTGCTGCAGAAGAAAGTCAACAACAATAGAAGCGCTGTTCTGGCAAAGTATGCTATAATTTTGAAAGTCTGGCAAATCGATTGTCAACATTTTGTTTAACATAAAATCAATACGCAGGTTCTTACCGTGTCATAGTCTCGGAAAATCGGGTAGGTCTGGATGCGCTGCGTTCTAACCTTCTCTCGAAGCGTGCTTAGAATGTTCGACACTCGGACTTCTTCATCCTCGGTCAGGTTTTGAAGGGGCTACATATACAAGTATATGCAGGAAGAAAAAGGAAAGCGGTGAGCTCAAGAGGGGGAAGGGTCTTAAATGTACGGAAATTAACATTGGTTAGGATCAGTCGTTAGTCTCCCTTATATAGCCGTCATTTAAAGGCAATTAGGTGATTTAAAATTCCTAACAGATCAGTCAATACCAACCTTTACACCTGTACAAAGCTGCTTTCGTGGGGAACCAGAGATACTGGATGCACGAGAGAGATACTAGTTTTTTTAGTAGGAGCAGAAGCAGACGATAAGCGAGAGACAGTAAATCCAAGGTTTTTTTTAGCTAATGTTGGCTTCGCACAGAGACAGGGAGTTTTGCACACAGTATGTCTTCTTATTCCGAATGGCGTCTTAGCAAAATTCCTGGTCTGTATAGAAGTCCAACGATTAACCCTCGCGTGAAGCCATAAGCTTACAGCAAGAGTCGCAACCATTATCTGCAGTATTATCATCAACGGCCAAACCCCTCATATATAATCATGATGACGTATGCCGCTATTGCAAAATTTGCACGCATTGTTGAAGCCGGGAGAGCTATTCTGGGGCTTTAACCGTTCATATTAAAGCCACGTCATGAGTCCAAATGTCCATTAGTTAACAAAAAAAAAACTTTTAACTTTAGAGAATGAATCCATTGCGAAATGCCTTACGCGCGAAAGGGCCCCAGGGGGTGGCGCCTCAGGTTTGCACAACGGCTTCTTCTCCAGGTCCATAATGTGAAAGGCTACAGCATTAAGAAGACGGAAAGCTCTGAGTACGCTCTGGCTTTTCATGTAAAACACGAAGAAATTGTAAACAAGAGGAATTAATTTACACATTTACTTTGCGCGTTATCGCTAATGAACTTTTTTCTTCTCAGCTCGGCCAAACCGCATGGCTACCAAATAACAAGTTAGTTAAGGATTTATAAGAGGATAAGTTTGCGTGAAAATATCAGAAAGCTTTGCAAGCACGCTGGGAACCAGACTCTCCCTTATGCCTCCTGGTCATTCGCGCGATGAATTTTATAAAATACTCACGAAAATCAGCTGCGCGGCAAAACTCCCTGTAGGCTATCTTGTCAGGATTCTTGCTTGAGCGAAAGAAGTTTGCCAGTTGTTGAATATCGAAACGAGAGAGCTGGGCGGCTTCGCTTAGGGTCAAGTTGAGAACGCAAGCAAACTGGTGTTCAGAGACTTCGTCGTGCCGCAGGGGATCGTAATCGAGGAAGAGGTCGAGGACGCGAATTCCGCGCGTGTAGACAGCGAAGCCGATTCTCTCCAGTACCATGTGCACGGACGGCACGAGTAGTTCGGACTTAGTATTAATGTGAATGTCCGGTGCGTCGGGCTGTAAAAAATCGTTATACTTACTTAATAACACTAAAAAGGGAGTGCAGTAGTCAAAAGAAAGCAAGCAGGAACTCAGTCTCAAACTCACACAAGTTCCCCCTCGGCTATTTATTATACATTATAGTTTTTCCTCAAGTCCTTTTATCATCCTGTCTACATTTTAGTTACAAAACCTCTCTCAAGGAAGAAAATCAGATTCCAGAAGACTGGACACTGGTAAGGTTCCAATCCAAATATTTAAGGCAACTTGAACGCCATTTATCTCTACGAAGTTGCATATACTTTTTGGAAGAACAAATTTCCAGCTCCGAACTTTCCAAAGAACACGAGCAACTTTGGAGATCTGTTGACATTTGCTTAAAACAATGATGCTCACTAGCGAGGTACACAAGGATCCATGCATAAAATTGTTACTTCGCAAACAGCTTATGGAAATGAGGCCTAGATATCCTCAATAACCATCAGAATTTAACTTCCATACCAACCCGACCTCCTGTGTCCCTTCATCTCTGTGAATGCAGTGTCGTTTGAACGACCCCAGGATGGAGATCGCCCCCCTGTGGATAAGCCACCAAACAGGACCATTTGCAATGGCACTTGACATAAAAACACTAACAAGTACGGTAGCTGATCATTAATTTAAGAGCTTCTTTGTCCACCATGCCGCGCCAGCCATCTCTGGGAGGAAATCGTAATATTACCCTACATGACTTCGAAGAGTTTGTCTTTAGACTTGCGCATGCTCAGTACACAACCTACTGTGATGCCGGATTGGTCCATTAACAAGCGCTGAAGAGATCAGCAAATAAAGAAGACTAGTCGAGCATCTTAACAATATATTGTTGTTCTGAGTTTTCGAATACTTTCAAGAGTCCATTGTCAGAGATAGTAGCAACAACGTAACAACTGACGGTTAAAGGGGTACTAGCCAATCAATGATGATCTCCAGGCCTGCGTCATTGATCATTTATTGGCTAGGATCTCCTATAACTGGCATGTAGTCCTAAAGCGTGGTCAGTCAGTAGGAGCCCATGTAAACGACCAGCGTTAGTGGACAGATCCACCAAAAACGAAATGTGACCGTTGGTAGTATTCGGGGTTTCGGCTACACCATAAGTACTGATGCAGAAGATCGGGTCACTGCTGAAATCCGCGCTGACTGTTCTCTGTTCTTAAGATATGCCAAAACCAGAAGTCATTCGGGAACCGAATACAAGGGTCTAGTGAAGAAATTGAGAATGACAGGTAGCAGGACAGATGATGTACGCTTCCCTCCCTTTATTCCCGATAACCAGATTCACGGCGGCAGCACTCTCGTCTGAATTTACAGCTTCTGGATTCTGAATTCGCATTTAGGAACCAGGTACTCTTAAGCAACATTCCGACATCGCCTCTGAGAGCATGTAGAATAGTAAGTTTTGACATATTACAAATGATGCTTACAGCAGGCGGCAGTTCAAAGACAGCAAATATAAGAAGCGGTCGGAGCGGCTATCTGCTTATCCACAGCATATTGGGTTAGGAAGGTAATATAGGCGCTTCGTCCTCCGGAATGCCATACGTACCATAGTGATTCGATTATCGAACCTCATCACTCAGCAGCAGGTGCCTATGAATTGTTGGACTATTCCATGTCAACAGTCCAACCAAGTCTCAGGAATCAGTTGCTTTTGACTGAAGTGGCTTTCAAGGGTTCTGTCTGGCGTACCAGTATGTCAAAACGATTTCAGTTAGCCAGGTAGAAGCTCATGAGCGAGAATTTATTCTTGAGACAGTCAATGTCGCACTTTCTTGCAGACTGCATACCGACTGGTAGGCTGCCTGAATAGCGATTTCACTCAATAAAAGAACAACTGTCGATGTCTACGCCGACACTATGGATGGCTGGTAACTTAATTGCCCGTTAAAGTCATGTACTCGGAAGTACATGTGGTTGATACGGCATTGAATAAGCCCATCCTTCAGGTGTCAGACGGTTGCACGTCTCTGTGATTCCCGGAGGAAGATATTTACGACAACCTGGCAGTTGAACATGACAAATTCGCCAGGTCTTTGCCATTCATGCAATGGTTTTCTACTGCGAAATGTCCACTCATGAACTTCATTTCAACTACGAAAAGAGGGACCCTGCTTTTTAACCAGTTATTACATTTATCCGGCCCTGGCTAAAAACGTCGACATTTCCTCCACTCATCTCTACCAAACACTGTCATACAGCCCACGATTCAAAAGTGAAATCCTAGGAGCTGTCTGTCGCAGCCAATTCTGTTTCATTTATGAACGATTCGGACGTGAACTATGGATATTCCTTCGGGACCACTGTGTCCAAACCAGTTTATACGCACGACGTACCTCCACCATCGGTGCCTGATGATACGAACTTACGCAAGTCTTCGATTCACATGGGGCCTTTCTTGTCTAAAATTTGGCAGATATCTCTACAGAGCCAATTACCAAGATGTCGTCTCCATTCGCGTTTTTCCAAAATATGCTGGACGTTTCTATCCACCGAGAAAATGTCTCTTAGAGTTTCAAGTAACCAGCCCTGCTGGGTGAAAATCACCTCGCGTTTATTCTCTCAAGTGAAATTTACGATATGAAAATGAGTGTTTTGTAGCATCCTAGTCACGTTTCCTTGAGGCATTTACTCGCTGAATTCTGAAGGTTCAAACTGACTGGCACTATCGTCACTGATTTTTAACCGCTTTAACAGAACGAGTCTGTGCTACACAACATTTCGGTTTTGAGACTTTCAGCAACGGAGTTGACCATCGCAGGGAGGTCCTGCGATGTTTCGTTCACATTTACGGCGATATCAAAGTCGATCGCATGCTCGCTGCAGGAGATAGGCAGTATGTTATGCATTGGGCGTGTATGCAAGTGTTGTGGATTAGGTTCATGTGTATGTAGACAAGAAAGGTGTGTGGGTAGGTAGGGAGAGGTGTAGTGGTGGGGTACAAACTGCGGTTTTACACTGAAGATATTTACGGAGGCGCATATGGCTGAGCAGGTCCATTCGATGACTGGAAATCCTGAGGCGGCGGAGGAAGGTGAGGCAGGAGAGATATAAATGTATTTTGGGGTTCTTGGGAGAAGTTAGACAGTCTCAGTGGAAGTGACAGACCAGACTGTTGCGTGACATAGCCGCATGATTCCAGTAAGGACAGGATGGAGCTGCGGCTACCGAGCTGGTGGTGGTGGTGGCGACGACGCCGATGTTAGTGGTAGTAGCACGGTTGATGATCTACTTGATATTGCCGGCGTTGGAGGAGTTTTCGGGTGTGGGATGTGGACTGGGTGTGGTGTGCGGCGTTGAATCTACTTGCCATATATGCATATATGGTCGAATAGATCCATTCCATGACCTAATATCCCTGGCCAACGTGGACGGATGAGGCGTGTGTGATTGTTTTATGCTCGGGCTCCATACTTCATTTCACCGATCTCCGTACGATGGATTCGCAAGGGATCAACCAGATCCGTGCATACCCAAAGTGTGTGGATGCAATGGAGGCAGACTGAAAGTGAGTCCACATTGTTGGTGGTTAGGGCATTGGCGGTGACTTCTCGCAGAACGATATGAGCTTCCACCCAGGTGGTATTCGCTATAATTTGTTGTGAGAAGAGAGGCGGGCTTGTCGTACTGACATTGCACTGGCCCCGTAGATGTCTAAAGAGGCCGATCCGTGGCTGGAATATCTGTTGACCATGTGGGCATTACGGCAGGGGTTGGGTGCCTGCGGAATTGGTCCGAAGCACTTGAATTTCGCGGATCTCTCCCTTTGCCACGACACCGACCATTTGGTTGGTTTTGATTATGACCACCCCAATCTTTACGGCAATGTGTTATGCCCACCCATCTTCAGCGGGAACCGCGCAGGTCTCCAGGCAGATTTGGAGGTAGGATGCTATTATTGACAGAGACAAGGGAGACTGGAATGGCCACTTCTAGCTTATTAATCGTCCTCGGCCAGTCATACTCAACCCCGAAGTGTGGAACACCTGGGACTCGAGACAAGTCTTCAGAATGTCCTTGAGGAACCTGCCTGGTGTGCGAGCCCCTATAGCAACTTCAACAGCTTCAGCAACTTCCGCAGTCACCTGGCATGCATTCGTACCGTGTGGCTGTCATATCGTAGTTTTGTCCGCTTCAGCATGTCTTAGATACTGAGGCCGTCAGTCTTTCGGACATGCGAAATTCGCGAGCCAAAGATCTTCGTCAGATCGACGGGAGTGGTGCAGAATTTGATCAGTTCTCAGTACTTGTCCTACAGTTGACAAGCTATCAATGTTACCTATGAGAGTCTGCGGTGCATTCTGAAACTGCACCGTTTTTCTAGAAGCTGTTTTTGCTCCAGATGCGTGTTCAGGAGGATAAGAAGGATACGGGCCAAGATTTTTTACGACATTAAGGAGATATGCCGCAGTTCGCCCCCTACGATCGCCGGCGTGACCGTTTACTCGTTCGGCCATTCAGTCCACCCAGCTCTTCGTGTTAAGATTGAGCTGCGCGAGACGTGGCAGCAGAGTGGCGAGAGCTCGAGGGCTGTCATACGTTCGGTGAGACGACTTTTTACAAATTCGTAATGAGCCGCTTGTGCGCTCTTTAGCCGCAGTAAAGCTTGTCTTCCTTAATCTGCCTTCCCCGACGTGCGATTCTGGAACCTTTTTGTTGTCAGTCCATCCCAACTCGACGGATAGATGTCGATGTTTGTAGATGTGCATGAGGTCAGCGTCCTTGAAGTCCCTTGAACGCGTCCTTGTCGTCTCATCCCAAAGTCGGTGACGCGAGCTTTTCCATCACTCGTGGACCACTGTACTGGTAAAAGTCCGCCGGAATTGCATCTGTTTGCGAACTAAGCACGCGCCGATCGACTGATTTTCCCAAGCAAGCAAATTTCAAGCAGGCAACTTTGGTTCTCATCCAGCCAAGTATAGCCTCGACTATCATTTATCCCCAAAGCATAATCACAGGCGCACACGTGCGCGCAGTGCAGACATTCGGCAGACTGTAAGGACAAGCCTAAAAACTTCTGAATCAGTCTACTCGCATTTCCCTCCATGACGCTTCTCTTGTTAACTAGGGGGCACAACAGTTGCCCTAACACCAGATTCCCAAGGTTAGAAACCACGAACGAACCAAAAACATAGGGACTGACCACCGGCACTAGTCGAACTTGACATAGACTCACAGTTCATAAATGCACTTATTCTAGCAACAGTTTGCCAAAAGCAACGTCATTCCACCTAAAAATCTGGAGCCAGACGTAACTTAGCAGTATCAAGAATTGCTCTCAATGGCTTGCAAGGAATATTCCCGGGGTGATGCTTCGGCGCCACACTCCGGACCAAGTCTTCGAAAAACGATCGATTCCGGGTGGTTGACGACAAATCAACTCTTACAACTTAAAAAGTCCGTTTCTAGTTGTATGTCTGTGGAGCTGCGCGATCTTAGAAAGAATTTGGCAGAACACTGAGAGGTTTTAACGTGCGTGGACACACATTTGGGCACAGAAGTGGATAGAAAATAGCTATTAGAAGTTATTCAATTCTTAAGAAAGACCGCTCAGTTAACACTCTGAGAAAGGCCACCCAACACGAGAACCTGAAATTTTTCTAACGCAGAGAAATAATAAGCTTTTAGACTTCCCCAAACAGCGATCTGGTTTCCTTTTTACTTGGCAACCGTTGTTTGGGCTCGTACAGTGACAATGAAGTGCAACTTCTCGACGCGCTTTCATTGCGCAGCCGAAAAACCATAATTCTTAGAGATTTTAATATTTTGTTAGCTAACTGGGTGACCTTATCCGTGGCTGCTGATGACAATACCTTTGATCCCAAATTTAGCTGGATTTAGGCTGAAGAGATTTCGGACGAAAGAACAGCGTAGGCTGCCAAAGAGATCCGGCCAGACCTTTAAGGTTGAAGAAGTCAACATTCTCACAAGAGGTGAAAATCGCTTAAGCCGCTGGCTGCTTGAGACATGGTTCTCCGGTCCGCATTCAAGTAACAAGCTCAACGACTTACTGCCTCTACATTCTGCGTTGCGATTCTGCCGTGACAAAATAACTAGCTACGCGGAGAGGGCGTCATCGACCAAAATTTCCGATGACAGTGAGTCAAACTGTCGAGTAATCGTCATGTCAAGGATCAACAATAACGACAAAATAATGATCATTAACGACTTAGGTACGGATCGGCATGCAATCGTCGCATCAAATATGATCTTCTGCACTGAGCACAGGACTGCTAATTATTGTAGGCACGTGGTTTCCGGGCTACTGCATCATATAACTAATACAGTCCTTGTGCTTATAATACCCTTTTCCACGACTGATTGAGTGACGGGTTAGAAAGAGGATCCGGAACGTCAGGCCAACGGGTTTCTTGTTCCAGTTATCGGATCTCTGTCTTTGGAGTGGGTTCTTATCAGACCGAATACAGTTGCTGATATGTGCAAGGTGGGTATCCAGTCCGAGAGCGGCCGTCTTTAAATTGTAAAATTGCTAAGTGTAGCAACTCTGTCACTGCTACTACGGGTAAAAGTCACCCACAAGTCTTCATATACATAAAAACGATAAGTAATATGTCCTTCAATCTCCGGCATAAAATGGTCAAATCTGACAATAACACAAACGAGTTGATGAGAATGCTATCATGTTCATTCAGAAATTTGCTCAACTATCAGAGGCAGATGGTTCAAAAAGCAGGATCACTTTTAGCCTCAGGAGAGTTGCTAGCTGATGCACCAACAAGGTTCGATAAATAACTGCTTTGCTCAGACACAAATCTGTTCCTAAAACCAGATAGTTTACACCGTCCCACATTAAATGTCTTGCTTTTATCTTAATTATTACTTTGTGCACGAATCCTAACGCCAGCCATAAAGCAGTCATCCTCACTGACTGGAGCAAAGCTCAAGTTTCTACTCTGCCAAAAAACCATCACGGTGGCTGGTTGAAAATTCGCTCACAGTCAACTTTTATTTTATGATGGATAAAATCTAGATACAGTCATCCACGATCGTCTGAGCTGCTTCGCGGACGGACAAGAACCCAGTAATCCAAGTCAACACAACGTTCTTAAAAGACGATCCTGCCTTAAAATTATCTCACTGCAAGATAAGTACAAGTGGAAAGCTGAATGATTGAAAAGATTTTGAAATCTTCTGTGTGTGTTTCAGTAGTGGCTTCTCTATGGTCAACCGCTGGGCACTTAAAAATAAGCTTCATGGATTTCTTTGTCTAATATATGATCGATTACGTAAAACAGCTTCCAGATAGTGTGAACTTCAACGTTATTTCGAGTAGCAATGTTGACTGAGTCGTGCACGCTTAAGGGTGCCCCATAGGGGTCTGTATAACGATTCTCGTTCTATCTGGCCTACATTAATAAGCCATCAGAGATAGCCTCTGAAAGTTGTAGAGTACATTAAGGTGCTAGTTCAGATATGTGACGACGCCAATGTTTACCGAAATTTGGTTTGTTAATCTAAATGGATAAGTCAAAAAAATCCCTAGGAAGTGCGGCGAAGTGTCAGTTTACAATGGACAACGCATGGTTAGGCTTAAAAATAGTTGGCGTACTTTGTCAGGTACCAAATCCACCTAAAGATCTTAATCGGTTAATAATTAAGTAATTCTTGCTTGGCTCGTTTAGCCTACCTACTGTTGAAAGGACTAGATGGCGACTTTTCCTAGCCTTTAGACTTTCCGACCGCCTCACTGAGCAAAACGCCTATGTTGTATTTAACATATATTGAACCACACCTCAAATAATGATCTCTGGCGTGAGATCAATATCTCGTATAAGCCATGGAAATTAAGTTAAATTGTTCGGAACCAGACTCGCAATTCTACCTACCTCATTCACGCGCTACAGAGGTGACAACACGCGGGTCTTATCAAAGAACATAAGACAGTCAGTTAGATGGACAAGCTGAATCGTCGGTTGTTTCTGTCATTTTATCCCAATTGCGAGCCCCCGTGGCAACCTCAAAGATTGCTCAAAGTTTGAGTGGGTACAAGAATTCGGTAAGCGAGATTTATGCTATTTTAAGAAGCAAAACGGAAACTAAAGGAATTATCTAGGTTTCCGCATTAACCTTATTTGGAAAACGCCTTGATTCCTTGTTAATGTCGAGATGGCCCGATTTAGTGAAGGTTAACATGTAGTTTTGTAGCTAAGCCACACATGTACTTAAAGTGACTAAGCCAAGGCCGTGCTTGATCCAGTCGTGTCCTGTCCCCATCATAAAATGGAGCCATGAGTTTTGAGGGTTCCGTCTTATTTGTCTGCAACATAAAGCTGCTCGCTATCTCAGCAGAGATATCCAAAACGTCCACACCACTATTCCGTACTTGCGCTAAGTATTTCTATGCTTCGATCTTGCTTCATATGCGCGCAGATATTATTAGAAAACCAGCAAGCTATTCGTGGGTCTTTTGATGCGAGGGTTTATTCTGCCTTGTTAACAGCGACTCACCGACGGGTCTAAACTCTCATATTAAATTTTTTATAGCCGCAGTTGCAAATAAAGCAAAAAAATCGGATGGTCGAACGTGTAAACTTACTTTTGGTGGATAACCTTCTTTCGATATTTTCTCCGCTTGCGCAAGATCTCGCAAATCCTGTTCCAGTCTAAGGTAGTCCACCATACCCGGGTCATTTGGGACAGAATAATGCTTAGCAAGTGCACAGAGCTCAGCTTCAGATATGTCCTTTGGGCCAGGAAATGATCGGTAGAACTGGCAAACATAATGACTTGAGATTTGCTAACCTGGCTTTCGGAAACTTTCCCAATATTTTGATTGTCGAACTGCTTGTAGCATTGACGAATCGTGTACCCATTATAGGTTATATGCTGGTTAATTCTCGAAAGGATTGGTCGGAAAATATCAGCAACACCTGAAAAGTTTTTTGGCAAGCATTCCGTTTCGTGACTAAAGAGTTCAAATGTGAACCTTGAACGTACAATCGAATTCGCTTTAGCTGCTGTTTGGGTGACAATGATAAGTTGTTTGGGTCCAAAGTCTTGTCTATTTCATCAACAAATTTTCGCCAATTAATCTTATCACCAACGCCATATTTTCCTCTAAGTAGACTGCGCTGTTCTTCATTGAGTGTGATCCCGAAATTTTGTGTCAGAATTCGAAAGAATATATTGTCTGAATGCATTATTTTTTAGGGATAAAAAACCTGTGACTTTTCCCGAACGCAATTTATCAAAATCAAGAAAATATTCGGAAACTCTAACTCCCTTTTCATTGGCAGTGTTTCTAAGACACTCCTCAAAATTCCGTAGTGAACACGCAACAGCCATCTGGTTTAAAACCCCGGGGTAGCTGTTGTGATAGTGACTTAGGCGACCTGTTCAATTGGCTAAAGTCAAGTTCCATTGTTATCCACCCCCTTTACCCCTTTGCCTCAAAAACCGCGATCTATTCCGCTCCCAATTCTAGATTTAATAAACGTTCTGTTGAAAGCATTCTTGATATTGTCTGTTGAAATCCATGTGATAGGACGTACAAGACCGCTGAGCAAGGAAGAGTCGTATTGGATATGTCACCACGACCTCTACCGACGAACAGCTCCAATCTCCTCTCAAAGGCCTGACTACAGACGAGACTAAACCATCAGGTAACTCGAGGATTACATCATTTGTAAAAGGCAGGCATTTTTTAATTAAGTTTGTTTTTCATTTTTTAACGTCTCCCTGAGTGACATTCCGCTTTCTTTGATGCAAAAGTGACTGAGCACCAATCGGACGCACCGATAGAAGAACTAGGCGGACTGATATCCTGACCGGAAGAAGGATAAACGGGAGAAAGGATTCCTCGCAACTTCTGGTTTCCCTTTCTGTTGTCTTTCCCTCACCCTTGGGCCGAATAACCCGTGACCCGCATCTTTCTCATATCCCTACTCAATAAACGTTCCGTTGTTGACGATTAAGTCCTGATATTGTCTGCTGAAGTCTGTGTGTTTGCGTGCGCTCGATTCCCATGCAAGGAAGCTCAGAAACGAATATGTCTACAGTCGTCCCAAACGGCGATCAGCACTAATCACATTCTAAGGACACCAATCCAGTCGAAGCTAAACCGACAGGTAACCTGGATATTACACATCCCGTCACTTTAACAAATTATTTATTCTCTGAACCATCACCATATGGTTAAGGAATCAAACCATGCACGGAACAGTGCTCAATCAGGGCTCATCAGACAGAAAATCGGAAGAGGAAAAAAATCTAATGGCATTTTGAAAAAAATCAAAAATGAGGCAAGACTTCGAAATAGACAGTAAATGGACTGAAATTGTACACGATTTCCAGGAAATATGTTTGGCTCTCAGGCACAGCAATAAAGCACAGTTCATATCCTCGGAGCAGTGAACAGGATCACAGTGCTTTGGTCCCCATTTCCTGATGTTATCTGGCCATTCAGTTCTTTTTTAAGTGGTTCCGTTTTCACCACTCGTAAGTGACTCACAGTCTTACTGTTCACACTTGTGTATTTACGTAACAAACGTCCTCGTTGTATTTTGGGAAATCGACCCGCGACTAACCTTCTTAATCAAACTGCTCCGAAATTTTAATGCCTTTGTCGTTCTCTGCTGCATTGTGTTGCATGAAATTTATTTCCCTTTTTCATTGCCCTTTTGCTTGTTATTTTAAAAATTGGTGCATTTTATTAGCTAACATTCACTTGCCTCCAATCACGTAGCACCCCGTGGTCTCAAAACAATTTCGTCTTTTATCAGTGAACGTTTTTCGAATGTTTTTGCTTTCAAACTTCTTCACATACCGTCGTCTTTTGATTCAATCTTAACTGCATAACATATATCTCGAAATGTGGAAGGCTAGTCGTAGTTTGTTCCGTCTTTATTCTTCCTCAAGTTCGGATATTTTCAGTGGAATTTCATGTGGATTACTTTGGCATTAAGTTCAAAACTTGCGCCTCTGCAGTTTGCCTCCTCGTCTTGTGGACACCAGTACCAGTCGCAGTTGAAAAAAATATGTTTTATGACCACAATACTTCCGGACTCTCTCTTTACCTGCACGCAAACCATCGTGTCTTTTAATTTTACAGCAAACTCTTCATGCATATACTTTCGCAGTGTCTACCAGCCTCCCATCAAAAAATGTTAGCCTGTCAGTCTGATGATATCTCACCACGAAACTCTCTCAGATGGTCAAATACACAATGCATGTCTTCCATCTAGCTACCTTACTGCCTTTTAGCTGCCGGAGAGCAGAACGTAGTCACATTTACCCAGAACATTAAGGGTTTCGGGTTAAAGCACACCGCTGACCTATCATGATGAATTTCTAAACTTCAGTCTTCATCTCTACCGCTCCGTTCATGAGCCACAGAAATATAAGGTTGCCGAGTGAATTATATTTAAAAATCAGTGTTCTGTTCAACCCTGGTCCTACGAGCACTTGTATCAAAACCTCATGGCAGGGAGGTAGGTTTAGTTGATGGCTTTGGCAAACTCCGTCCCTATTTAACTAGTACTATAGCGATGACAGTCTCTTCCTGGTTAGTATCGAAGTCTGCCTCTAATTGAGTTAATTGTCAGACACCGAGCGTCGCTTTCCATAACCCGGTGAATTCCATCAGGCTGACAACGACTTCTCCGTTATCCTCCTTGACTTCTGATGATTTTACCTCGTACTTCGGCTCAAATGCTCTTGTTGTATCAGCGAAAAGAGTGCTATATCCTAGGGCATCCTGCAGGAAAAGCGAATTGTCCTGACATGGTTGTGTCGGAAAAATTCCGGACAATCCACTGGTGGCTTTCGGTTACAGGTCCATTGGACGTACTTGTCGAGTCATGCTCTGATAACGATCCTTCGCGGTTGACTTCGGGCCACATTCGACCCTATTCGACTGCCGGCCACTCACTTTCCATAACATGGCCATTAGACTACCCCCTCCAAGGAATTTAATTTCCCTCGGCTTCCAAGCATTTATTTTTTTCTGGATCCCAGCTCTGATTATCCATTTCAGTATTATCTCCTCGGGAGTCCATCTTCACTAAAATCCTCCATCCTGACGCCATATTGTCGCACGCCATCGCCCATCTTATTAAAGTCACTGAACCTCTCGCCTCCCCTCACAAGTGGTGTCTTATTTCTGCCTCCATTGTTGCACCCGAGGCTATTTTTGTTCACATACTGCAGATCGAGTTGTTAGACAGTCCCTGAGCGTCCGCATAGAACTCTGTCCCTTTGTAGGTCACGTGCCCTTATCTGCACTTTGGTGCCCATTGGTGATACTTTCATCATTCTTTGTTTGCGCCTGCAACGAAGCTACTGGAATGGAACTTAAATTCGGCTGCATTTCCACTATCCGTAATTTATGCCCGTACTGCCTCTGTAACAAACTCTGTGTATGCACATGCGCATTGTTTGTTCCAGAAAGAAGCTGAGCTTAAATTATGAAAATCGGATACACAGTCGGACTTCAGTCATACTATGCAGTTTGGATTGCATGCCAACGTATTGGATGGTATAGATCTCACCAACAGATACCACCTTCTTTGTCCAGGCCGACTGCATAAAAGGGAGGCGGACAAACAATTTATGCCAACAAACGAATCATTAAGACAGAGCGCATGATTATTTGCTCAAGTGGCTTTGAAACAACATGGCTGAAAATGAAAGTGCGTGAAGCACAAATCTTCAGCTTTGACAATATTCAGGCTGTCCAACCAAACTTCCGATGCTGCCGTGATGTTGCTTAATTATTTAAAGAGGCAACCCAATGTCAAGGGGAAAGATAATTGCGGGTTTCACTTCACCGACAATTTACTAGAACATTTATTCAGCACAAAGTTTTCGAAAGTCTTCCGACCACAAATCATTAATGTCAACAATGAATCCTCCTCTCACGTAGATTTTCACATTTTTAATTAGTACTAAAGAACCTCAAAGAGCGACTTTCTATATCTCATCTTTGTGAGTGGCCTAATTAGCTCCGACGAAATCAGAAAAGTAAGGCTGCTTGCCTCTATAAAAAGTACTACCCACACACCGAACAAATGGAGTCGACTGATATTCATTTGAATTTCTGGTAAGGTGATTTCTCTGACATGAGAAGTTAACCATCGACTATGAACTGGCGTGACGTTCTTACTGAAGGTCTGTTGGTCGACTGACGCATTGCTTATCAGCCATTAGTTATGCTACTCATTACAAGTGTCTGACATAAAGTCCAGCATGTATGATTAACGAGAGATTAGAATGTAGAAGTATAAGCAGAAAGAATAAACTTTGGATAAGGTATGTGGGTGAAGCAAAACTCCAGCATTTGGACGGATTTCCCTAAAAGTGTATCGATCTATGACCAAGTGTCCGCAGATGGCGAAATCTATGTGGAACATGAATGGCCAAACAAGCTGTAGAAAAGTCAAAGACACTCGTCAACTACCTCAACAGCAGGTTAGACAATAAAAAGATGTTCGTAGTGTTAAAGGGATAAAAGGAGAATATATTTCTGAGGACGACCAGAAGGCTTAACAAACGAGACGTGTTTCATATATTTTTCCTGATAAAACGGATTTTAAGTAGGCCGACCTTCTCATGGAAAGGAATGACGCAGTCGTGAAGAGCAGAGATTGTTCACAGGAAGCTGTGAAGAAGGAATTATTTATGTCTAACGAATTGTATTCTCCGGGACTCAGAGCAAAAAACTGCATGAGTAATAAAAGAACTTGCTCACGAACTCTCAGTACCCACTTCGCGTGTTTCCTAGACATTATTTGACCAACGCATTCCCCTCTCTGACTGGGAAATGGAGTATCTATACGTCATTTACAAGAGTTGGTCCATAACAAGCGCTGACAACTATAATATATTTGGCCGACATGAAGTTGTTATAAATATATCTATCGGATCATAAAAAATCTACCATGAACTTTCTTGAAGAAAAAAACGTTTCTACCAGTGTCCAGCACGATTTCCTACGAGGCCATTTCTGCTTGACCGATATTTTCTATTCAGTGTAGCATTGATTTCCTGAGTTAGAAGTAAACGCAACACCTGGTGTGCGTTACACTGACTTCAAAAAGCCTTCGATACTATTCTACACTAACGGTCATTCTACAAGGGCCAAGAATCCGAGCTAGTGGAAAGCTGCTGACTTGGGTAGAAGACTTCTTGACTGGTCGATCAC